TTCCTCTTTCTACTATAAAATCTATCCAACATTCACTGCATCTATGGACCCCTCACATCCTGGACATAAATTGTTTCAACGTCTACCCTCAAAATGACGCTATAGGGCATTGCACACCAGAACAACTAGACGTAAGGACAGTTTCCCCCCACCCCCATGCCATCACTTTGCTAAACAACTAATTCCCACAACACTGTCAAACTATTTAGTAAGGCTGTATTACTATTCTTCTTTTCATCTTTCCTATTACCTATCTCCTTTTCTACTTATGACTATAACTTTGTTGCTTGTAAATTTACGATGTATATTGTTTTATTTAGTTTCCTAGTATGATTTATGTTGCTTGTTTATTTAGTATCCTATGACTATCACTAAGTATTGTATCTTATGATTTATGATGAATGTATTTTTATGATGACTATGATCACGATTTATCATTTATAGCTTTTATGTACATGGAGAGCTTATGCACAGAAGACAAATTCCTTGTGTGTCCAATCACACTTGGCCAATAAGGAATTCTTTTCTATTTTATTTATTTATTTATTAATTTATTAATTTAATTTGTATACCGCCCTTCTCCCAGAAGGGACTCAGGGCGGTGAACAGCCAAAATTAAAAAACAGACAAATGCAAAAGTTAAGATAATTAAAAGAATTAAATCATTGGCTACCCAATTTAAAACCCCAAATCCATAAAATTTAAAATCCTAATTAAAAACCATTTAGGCTAGGCCGGCTTGATGAAATAAAAACGTCTTCAGGGCTTTATGGAAGGTCCGGAGGTCCGGGATCAATCGTATTCCAGGAGGCAGCTCATTCCACAGGGCGGGTGCCCCCACAGAGAAGGCTTGCCCCCTGGGGGCCGCCAGCCGACATTGCCTGACCGACGGCACCCCAAGGAGGCCCTCTCTGTGAGAGCGTATTGGCCGGTGGGAGGCTATCGGTAGCAGCAGGCGGTCTCGCAAATACCCTGGCCCTAAGCCATGGAGCGCTTTAAAGATGAGAACCAACACCTTAAAGCGCACCCGGAAGACCACCGGGAGCCAATGCAGCTCGCGCAGGAGAGGTGTTACGTGGGAGCGCCACGTCGCTCCCATAATCACCCGCGCGGCCGCATTCTGCACCAGCTGGAGCCTCCGGGTGCTCCTCAGGGGGAGCCCCATGTAGAGAGTGTTACAGTAGTCCAGGCGTGACGTAACCAAGGCATGATGACTGTGCACAAGGAGTCCCGATCCAGAAAGCGGCGCAACTGGCGTATCAGGCAAACCTGATAAAAAGCCCCCCTGGCCACGGCCGTCATATGCTCTTCTAAAGACAGCCGTGTGTCCAGGAGGACGCCCAAGTTGCGAGCCCCCTCTGTGGGGGTCAGTGACTCGCCCCCAATAGCCAGCGATGGCACCAGCTGGCTATACCGGGACGCCGGCATCCACAGCCACTCGGTCTTGGAAGGGTTGAGCCGAAGCCTGTTCCTCCCCATCCAGACCCGCACGGCCTCCAGACACTGGGACATCACTTCGAGGGCATCATTGGGGTGGTCTGGGGTGGAAATGTACAGCTGAGTGTCATCAGCGTACAGATGGCATCGCACCCCAAAACCACGGATGATCTCACCCAGCGGCTTCACATAAATGTTGAACAGGAGCGGCGAGAGGACTGACCCTTGCGGCACCCCGCAAGCAAGGCGCCTCGAGGTCGACCTCTGCCCCCCTGCCAACACAGACTACGACCCGTCAGAGAGATAGGAGGAGAACCACCGCAGCACGGTGCCTCCCACCCCCAGTCCCTCCAGCCGGCGCAGCATGATACCATGGTCGATGGTATCAAAAGCCGCTGAGAGGTCTAACAGGACCAGAACAGAGGAACAACCCCTGTCCCGAGCCCTCCAGAGATCATCCACCAATGCGACCAATGCCGTCTCCATGCTGTACCCAGGCCTGAAGCCGGACTGGCACGGATCTAGATAGACGGTATCATCCAGGAACTGTGGGAGCTGTCGCGCAACCACACTCTCCACAACCTTCGCAACAAAGCGAAGGTTGGAGACCGGACGATAGTTTGCCAAAACGGCTGGGTCCAGAGAAGGCTTCTTGAGGAGGGGCCTCACCACCGCCTCTTTCAAGGCGGGAGGCAAGAAACCCTCTCTCAGAGAAGCATTTATGATCCTCTGGAGCCAGCCTCGTGTTACCTCCCGGGTGGCCAGTACCAGCCAGGAGGGGCACGGGTCCAATAAACATGTGGTTGCGTTTAACCTCCCCAGGATCCTGTCCACGTCCTCAGGAGTCACAGGGTCGAACTCATCCCAGGTAACATTCTCAAGACCAGCCTCAGTCACCCCGCCGGGATCTACCCAGTCAGAGTCCAAGCCTTCCCGAATCTGAGCGATTTTATCGTGCAGATACTGTGCAAAATCCTCAGCCTGCCCTTGCAAGGGGTCTTCCCGCGCTCCCTGATATAGGAGGGAGCGGGTCACCCTAAACAAGGCGGCTGGGCGGTTATCTGCCGATGCAATAACAGCGGAAAAGTGGTTACGCTTTGCCGCTTTTATCGCCACTAAATAGGTCTTAATATGAGACCTAACTAGTGTTCGGTCGGATTCGGAGCGACTAGCCCTCCAACCACTCTCTAGGCGTCTTTTCCGGCCCTTCATCTCCCTCAGCTCCTCGGAAAACCAAGGGGCCGGGCAGGTTCGGCGTCGGGTCAGAGGCCGCAAAGGCACGACTCGGTCCAGAGCACCGGCGGCTGTCCTATCCCAGGCAGCCACCAGATCTTCAGCCGAGTCGTGAGCCAGAGTTTCAGGAACTGGCCCAAGCTCTATTCCATTCCATTCCATTCCATTCTATTCGGATTCTCAATTGATAGCATGATATTATCTGCATGGAAAAGTATTTACACCATTCATAACTACAACCAATACACCTGTAATGTCTTATAGATTTATCCATAAATATATTAAACGTGGAATGTTGTACATTTCTCTAACTTTGGGCATAATGTTGAACTATTTGCTAAACTTTCTTTTTTTTCCATTCATACTTTAATTTTATCATACAGAAACATTGAGGAACAAACTTCTGTTCCACAGTCCCTCAAAACAATCCAAAGTAGCCTACATTACATTACACCTTTCTCTAAATTAGAGAGATTTCTGGCTTTGCAGTCCGGCTGGGGGGGGGGTGGGGATGGTGCTGGGATGGCTCTGTGCGAGTAGCAGGCACGCCTGCTTGCTACGCATGAAGGTGGAGCATGCACACACATGCATTCGCTGCTCACACAAGCAGGGATGTGCATGCACTTGGCTGCTACTTTCATCACCCAGTTCTGAATGGCTCAAAGTTTGGTAATGGGCTGTGTCCTGGACTCCTGGAGGCTGGGGACCCCTGCTCTAAATCAATAAAAATACAATAAGCTTTTTTTCTCACATTCATATACTGTTCAATGACCAGCTGAAGAGCAGATACTTGCATATCTTCTTAGTAGCATAAAGCTACACTGCATTTTGCAAATTTTGTTCATTTCCACATCTTGTATTTTTTTTCAATTTTCTAGACACACTTAACAAGCTAATCTTATTTTGCCATTCAGTCTTTAACAGTAAAAAATTTCACTTTCGCTCCATAAGCAATTCACAATCACGTATCTATAGATAATTATCTATACTGTATTTTTCTTTTTCCTTTTCTTCGACAGTAACATTTGTAGAATTCATTTCCATTCTTCTCTTCAATGTATCATTCCCATACAAATCTCTGAATCATACCTTCATCACTTCATTTTCATCCCAAATCACTTCATTACTTTTATTTTTAATTCCATGTATCCCATTGGCACTCTGTTTTAAGTTCTCTTCATCTCTTTCTCAAACAAATTTTTATTTTCATCAAAACTACTCTGTATTTTCTCTCTTCTAATACGAACCACTCCTTTTTTTTCCTTGACTACTTTCTATGAAACTATCTTTTTCTCTCTGTACACATTATATAATCTCTTCCTCTCATCCTAATTTTCTACAGTAATCATGCTTATATACAATTTGTTCTCATAAACATCATTCCATCAATTATCCTTTTTCATATTTCCCATTGATGTAATTCAATAAGTGTCAGTGACACTCTGTAAAAATATTGTTTGCTCTTTTCCAAGTAGCTTTCTCACTTTACTTCCTTATGGTCATTTGCCACATATTCTATTGGGAAACTAATCTACCTTCTAATACGTCTTCATACAGGACTTGTACTTTTCTGTAATCATTGTACCTTTCACTAATTCTCCTAATATTATAAGTGATCAAATCAATAATGCTTTTAGGTTTTCTATTCATTCCTTTGCCATGTATACATATGAATGAAGTCACGTTTTAACAACCAACATCCTTTTTTCCAAGCAAATACTTATCAAAAAGTCACACTGTCACTTATTCTTGAGTCTTCAAAAGGCACCATTATTTTTTCTGTACTCTCATCTTGTTCTTACCTATATTATCTGACAAAATATTTTTCTCCTGGTTTGCATTCATTTAGAACATTATAGTTTTCCCTATTTTCATATCTGGTTCTTCGTTTATTACCATTCACTGGAGCACAACATGCTACAGACACCAGCTTGTGGATTCCTACTTAGAAATACACTCAAAAGAAACCAGTTAAAAATTACACAGTTAAATTTTTTTGTTCTCTCAGAAACATGGCAGTTCTTATTTTGTTTAAGATCTCTTCAGGTTAAACAAGGGGGAATGGGGATCGGGACTAAATTACCCTGTTCAAGTTATTTCTAAGATAATTTCCCTTCCTCAATATTACTCTATTTTTGTTCATGAAAGATACTTTGGATGTAATTCAAAAACTGAAAAGCTCAATTGTGAAAGGGAGGAGACCAAGCAAGAGCAAAACAAGGAGAAGGGATAGAACTATTGTTATTTAACTCATCACCGACAAACTCCATCACTACCTATTCCAACTTAAAACAATTAATTTAAAACCAGCCACATGATGGGATACTCACATCACAATTGGCTCTTCCACCATTGCCACATCTCTGCTCTCTCAGTGTCTGTGAATGAGAGAAAAAAAGGGATTACATTGGGTAGGTTGGTTTGGACTTACCTAAGACCTTCCCTACATAAGAAAACAAACCTAAAAGAATATTTGCTTCTCTTCTTTGCTACAATTCCAAAAAATGTTCAAAGCTTATGATTCCGTTTTATGAACTTAAGCTTTTCATGGTGCCTGAAGTCCTGAAAAATGTGGCACATCATGAGCAATAAGAATGCAATGATTTTATACTTTATACAAGAGATTTGTTTCTATTATCTAGTGCAGGGGTGGGCAATTGTGGCTCTTTTACAACTTGTGGTTGGCAAGCTGTCTCAGGAATTTTGGGAGTTGAAGTCCACAGGTTGTAAAAGAGCCACAATTGCCCACCCCTGATCTAGTGTGATGATTAATCACACTTACTGGCTAAGGACGTATATTTAAATAGCAGCCACTAAAATGGAAAGTGGATTATTTCATGATAAAATAAAAGAATATAGGAGGAGGAGGAGGAGGAGGAGGAAAGCATTATCTAAGATAAGAATGCTTTCATTCATTCTTGTTACCTCCATGCTGGGCCCACATTTATAAAAAAAATGCTCACCAAATGCTTGAATTCTGCAGAAAGGCTTCCATTGTTGGACTCCTCCATGTTCATCACCTTAGTATTTGTTCCCAAGATATTAAACTTCCGGGATCTTGATAAGCCAAAGATAGGTACATCTTTAGACTGTCTAAGCAATTATTAAAATAGCAACACCCTAAACAAAGAACAAGCTAGCCCCTCTCAAGATACTTTGGGAATCATATATCTGAGATCCATCAGTAACTTCCCAAAGGTAGTATTTAAGGGTGACATCTTAAACTTACCCCCGGAGGGCAGCCACTTCACCAGAATCCCTGCAAGAAGGAAATAAATGTGAATCATAAAATCAGGAGAAAATGAATATACAGTAGAACCTCTGGTCACGACCACAATTCGTTCCATAACTTTGGTTGCAAACCGATTTGGTCATGACCGGAACCTAATTTTAGAAATTTGGCACTTACCAAAAAAAAAAAAAAAAAAAAGGCGCAGAAGGAGAAATCAGCTGCAGGAAAAAAAATGTGAATATTTTGGCTGGAACCCGATTTGGTCGTGGTCAGAAGCGTTCGTGACCAGAGGTTCTACTGTATTGATAATACTACAAAAGAAAAACAAAAGAAAGGCTGAAGTTTTCAATTTAATATAAAATGAACATTTGAACATACTTGTCAATGCAAACTTTGATTTTCAGCTGATAATTCAGCTCGGGAAACTTAACCAGTAACCTACAGAAGAGAAAATAAACGTTAACTTCTGAAAACATCTCTCTCCCTACTCCTGCTCATCAGTAACATACACAAACACACAATGAATCTGTAATTTATCTGATCCATACTAAACTAGGCTAAACTGATGATGGGGGGGATCAGCAGCTGTTTACTGATATTAGCATAAACCCAAGTAGGAAAATGACACTTATCCTAACATAAGGCAAAATAGGATCCATGATACCGACCACTATTTATTTGACAGTTTCTTAATTGCAATTTGCAAGTGTGGAGATAGGTAAAAATGTAAATCCCTTTTCTTTCATTATCTGAAACAATTTTAATAGTACTTACAGAATAACAGGGTTGGAAGGGATCTTGTAGGTCTTCTAGTCCAATCCCCTGCTCAAACAGGAGGCCCTATACCATTTCTGACAAGTGGCTGTCCAGTCTCTTCTTGAAAGCCTCCAGTGATGAAGAACCCACAACTACTGAAGGCAACCTCTGTTCATTGGTTGATTGTTCTCACTATCAGAAAATTTCTCCTTATTTCTAGGTTGAAGCTCTCCTTGAGTTTCAGTGAGTTTCCAATCACTGTCCGGCCTTCAGGAGCTTTGGAAAACAGATTGTGCCCCTCCTCTCTGTGACAGCCCATCAAATATTGGAACACTGCTTTTATGTCACCCCTGGTCCTTCTCTTCACTTAGACTAGCCATGCCCAGTTCTTGCAACTTGGAAAAGCCCACATAACCCCTCTTTGCCCTTTGCAAAATACATTTTGCAAATTCTAAAATAGTTTATGAAGGCTGCAGAATTCAGTTTTTCTGATGAAGGATTTAGGTTATTTTAAATAAGTATGCTTAATTTGGAACATGTATGGCCTTGCTTTCAGCACCCTCCTTCCTATTTCAAATGTCTATGAGCAGAAAACTCACCGTACTTTTGTTGTAAATTGTACTCCAGTTTTGATAACAAGTGGACGGTCTGGATGCATTGGCATACAGGGCTGCCGCTCTACTACAAAAGCACTGTTAAAAGCAAAGGGGAGATCAGTGGTGATTAGTGGAGGGAATTATGAGAAAAGAAGTGTCAGTTCAAATCTACAAGTTCACTGAAAAGCTACAACAAGAATGCTTGACAATTACACTTGACTGTATTTTTAAGCAAAACAGTCAGATATATTTGGGATTCATACTGCTCCCAAAATTTATGATATACTTCTCAAATGAAAAACAAAATGCATCATCAGTACCAAAAATATAGGTTTCAACATAAAATGCACAGTGGACATTGTGCAATTTTTCATGTATTTTTTTAAAAAATTGCAGCTTAATGCAGTAATAGTACAGGACATAGTTATGAATAAGTAACTGTAAAATACTCTGTTCTCAGGGGTGTGCCTGGCTCTTACCTCTTCTGATTTTCCACGTTGGTCAAGACTGTCCTGTCTGAGCCTTCATTTGAAGTTAATTTTGGCTGAAGTGTGTATTGTATTTGTTTATTTGGTTTTAATTTTTGGATTCTAATAAACTTCCAGGAATGAGCTTTGTGCTATTTATTTACTTATACATAAATAGACAAACTTGTGGTTGATTGTTAAGTAGTCAGTTTCTATGTGCAATATTTCAGCACTCCAACTGCAGACAACTTGATCTTTTCCATATACCCAAGACAAACAGGCAGTACCTCTTCATGAGATTCCTGAATAATTCCACAATGCGCTCTTCCAGCAATGGCCGGTGTTGAACAATTGGGTCCCCCTTGTAGGAGACCTTCTGCTGCAGCTCCTCAAGTTTCTTAATCTGCTGACGTGTCTGAAGTTGTGACTCAGCCAAGGATGTTATCCTGGGTTGAAGGGTAGGAATGGAACAAGAGAAAAACTGCTATACCTTATGTCAACATCACAATGGAGTAACTATACTTTCTACCTGAGGAGGCCACCCTAACTATTTTATCCTGGTTTCTAGATAAATTTATACAATTCATACAATCACCCAGCTAAACTAGGAATGGATATCCTGCAGTTCTAACATACTCATTAGTCAGGTAAAATGGGACTATAGTTAATAGCATCTGGATCATACAAGGAACCTGAGTGAGCAGAAATTCCTGATCTAAATCTACTAGTAATGTCAACTCTACAATAACTTTTAAGGTGGAGAGAATGTCCTCCATATTTTCTACTCATGAATATTTTCTATGTATTTCAATTACCTTTTTATTTGGAAGGTGGATCAGAAAGACCCTACATTGACAATATATTCTCATTTTGTAACTTTATTGAAAGATAACTGGCAACAAGTTCTACAAACAAAAAAGCAGCCAGAATCCATTCTTACCAGTTCTCCAGACGATCTAGGCAGATGTTGGGTGGTCCACCAATACATGCAATTTGTTGTCTCCGCTTCCAGTCAGCCAGTTCCTCATCCACTAATGTTTTCTGCACATATTCCATGGCAGATAATAGCCCAGCCAGTTCACTCACAATCCCCTTTGAGGAAGGAACAGGAATGTTGACAATTCTTTTCTGGCCTTATTTATCATCTATATTATCATTCAAATACAGTAGTCCTTGCTTAATGCATGTTGTTCAGTGACCCTTAGAAATTACAACACCACTGAATAGTCTTATGACTGGTCCTCAAAGTTCCAAACATTACAGTGCTTTGGTGGTCGGTGAACAATATTCAGGTCCTCTCAGGTCCACCTGCATGTTCAACCACTTTTTGGCTGCTTTCCACCTGCTGTGGCCAACTATTGCCACTGTGCCATCTTCTTTCGTGCTGGTGCCACCAGAGCATCTTTTGCACTTCATCCAGGGCCTCCCTGGCCAGGGACTTTTTGTGTGTGAAAGAAGGACCTTGCTAGAAGGACTTTTTTTGTACTGGTATAGCTAGGGCTCTCTTTCATGTGCCTGCCTTTTAAAACTTTGCAGGAAAGCCACCCATGATTTGGACAAGGCCTTATGAAATTTGGACAAGGGCAGGGGTAGCTAGCAGAAAGTGCCAGGACAGGTGCTCATCAGCAGAGGCAGGAAGAAGACAACAAAGGGCAGTAAAGGGCAACAAGGAAAGCAAGTATTAGGTGGCAAGGTTGACAGAGGTGGCCGAGTGAATGGCAGCCTAAAGAGCAGAGTTGGGGAAGAAATAGGTGGGTGGAGGAAAATGAAGAGAAGGCAGTCCCTTATCCTACCAAAGCTTGGAGCTGGGGGGGACCAAGTCAGTAGCTACTTGGATTGGTATCGGTTCCCAGTTAACAACCAATGGAATTTGGTTACTGACAGCAACTGTGACTGCCAGGATTGTGATTGCAAAGTAATGTGGTCATTATTTAGCAATGGAAATTCTGTGACATTGCTTAGCAATGGAAATTCCAATTCTGGATAACACTGTAACTCAAGGATATCTGTATATTTTTATCAATTAAATATGATATTTAAATATGAGTTACATCCAGACTTATACTCAGAACAGAAGGAAAAACTGGTTAGTCACAAATGATGTCCTTTGATTTCAATGAGTTTAAGAATGACTTAAGTCCAGATTTATCATAATAATTATAAATGGTACCTCCTCCCATGTTTGAGCCACTTAGAATGAAATATTGGACAAATTTAATCATAATTAACATTCTTTAGAATTCTACTAATTAATATTATGATAAAGTAATTTTTTATGAATTTAATATAAATATGATAACCAGAATCTCTGATTTGAAGAATCAGAAGTCAGGAGCAAATTTGATTTAGATTTCTAGTTTGTTAAGAGAGAAACAAACTATGGTTCACATGGCGATAGACAAACCCACAAACAGAACTTCCTGATTAGTTTCTCATACTAGCACAATATGCTAGTTTGTTTATTTATTTGCCACAAATAAACTTCTACATTAATATGTAACATAGCTCTACTAGAGAAAGCTGTAGGCTTGTTTAAAAATTCTTTATTGCAGGATTAGACATTTGAAGGATTGGAGATTACAACTGTCAGTCACACAATTGTCCAGATACTGTACAGGAGCTATTTTGTGTCATCAATATGAGAGATTGTTTTTTATGACTTTTAAGTGAGTGTTAATTGGAAAGGGGGATCACTGGGATACAGTTCCCTACTTTAATAAATAATAGGAATCACATACTGCACCTTTCCCAGTGAGGCATTCAGAATTGTATACTTCAGTTTTCAGAACTTCGTAGCCAATACAGCTATTCCTAAGAATTTGAGTCTTTGAAGTCCGTTCATTGGGTATACCAATAATGGTAGAGGCTGCATGTAGCCAAAATGATAGTCCACAAATTATTATAGTTAGACTCACTTGTATAGTTTGTTTAGATTTAGTATAATATATGAATCTAGCCAGTACCTAAAGAGGATCTCTCATTTAGCTTTCTGCAAAGCCATGGTGAACAAAGAACAAGTTTTTTTCCACAAACCCTGACATCTGCTGTACAACCTGCCCAATGTGCCTTGTAGGTAAGGATTTTTGTTTTTGGAGAAGTGAATAAAAGATGTGGACGGCAAGAGAACTTTTTCACAATAGCCCTCACCCTTCGCATTTGATCCAGTGCAGTTAGCATTTGCTCCAGCTGTTGCATCTTCTGGCGTGTCACTGACTGGTTGTTTCCATTGAGATCTTGCATATCTAAGAGGGGACACAAGAGAGGGGCAAACATTATTTAAGCCCAAATATCAGTCCAATTCCTTCTCTTGCATATCTGTGATTCTCAGCTCATTTCTTCCTAGTAAACAAGCAGCTTGCTCCTATTTTAGGATTTCCTTACCACTTTTCGTCATTTTGTACATGGAAGTGAATTGTTCCCCTTTTCTCAATCTTGGGTTTTTTTCATTAGTTTCCTTTTGATTTAGATCGTGACTGTTTTCAAATAAGCACATTTTCTAGTCCAGCCCAGTTCTGAGTGGCATCAGTGGAGAAGAAAAAATGAATAAAATGGAATATAGAGAATCTTGATTCAAACCTTGCCACTTTTGTACATGCATCTAAACTCGATCCCATTGCACGCTGTTTTAGGATTTTTGTTTGCCCTTGGGAGCTGGGGTGGGTGTGGCCTAGTCTTCATGGCTGACTGGGTGGGCATGGTTTCTGGGACAGCCTCACGGGACAACTCTGGGCCTACTGCAGACCAGATTCAGCCTGCGAGCCACGTGTTTGACATGTCTGATCTAAACCATTCAAAAGTGGTGGGTGGGGCTTGTTCTGCCATGCTCTGTTGCTCATCTTGCCAGTGTTAACCCCATTCCAGGAGATGCTGCTACTGGTACTATATAGATAGGATGGGAAAACACTCCCATCTTGAGGGTCATATTGGCTAGAGATGATGATTAGTTGTTACCCAACACTAACTTAAACACAACAGATAAGGAAACAATGGGCTACCTTTCATCTCTACATTCTTTATAGTCACTTTCAATATGATGGGAATATGATCCCACTCTGAAGGCTTTCCCAAACCCATTAACAGAGGCAACCTTTTCATATATATATCTTTTTTAAATGTTTCATGGACGATTTAAAAGTTGATCTTTCTGTAGTTTGCACTGATCGTTGTTATAGTTTTGAGCAATAGTTAGGACACTGCATAATTTATTCAAGTTGCAAAATTAAACTATTCTTTCAAGCATAAATCTTACACAAACTGCTGTATATCTAGAAACTGTTGATCATAAATTTCTTGTCCCTAATAGAACTCCATGGACAAATCCTGCAGTACCTCAATTTAGTATGCTTCACTTGTATCAAATTAGAGGAAATTAGATGAAATCTATATCTTTTAACCAGGAAATTCATTGGTTGCATAAAATGTATTACATACCACCTTGACTCTTCAAAGTCTTATAATTAAAATCAAAGTCATCCTGCAGGTTCTCCACCACTTTCATCTTCTGCTCCAGATCCTATAAAAGCCATGAAAATTGCATAGGATCATCATATTGGAAGGAATAGAAATATTCAACCAACTATTCTTGATCCAGACATTCTGAGTTCCCTACCTGGACGCGCTTTCTAACATCTTGCAAGTGTTGTTCCAGCATCTGCTGTTTCTCCGTCACTACAGCAGCTGTAGGGTGGTTTGCCTGTCCACCTTGCTATAGTAAAGTGGGAAGATACGGGAAAAAAAATAAGAATAATAGTTAATATCTTGCAAGTAATGGAGCTATTGTAATTGTGTGCTTGTGCTCGAAAATCCAACTTGAGACTGCTGTTGATGAAATGCTTGTGAAAACAACAGTCTGGGTTTTGTTTTTGTGTTAGTAGTGATATTATTTAAGACTTAGAAAAGGGGATAATTGGGCCAAACAATTTAAGAATCATTAAAAACAGCCACCTTATCCCATGCCTTAGGATAGGGTGGCTGTGGAGTCCCCATACATTTGGTTTTTATTCCTAGCTTGACTATGATTTGTTCTACATATGTTTTCTTTCTTCCTTCCTTCCTTCCTTCCTTCCTTCCTTCCTTCCTTCCTTCCTTCCTTTCTTTCTTTCTTTCTCTTTCCTTCCTTCCTTCCTTCTTTCCTTCTTTTCCTTCTCTCTCCCCCTCCCTTTTTCTTTTCCAGAATTATCAAGGAATTAGGTGTTCTTAAAACTGAATCAAATAGCCTTATGTAAACCAATGATGATAGCCGGAATAAGTCAAAACAGCCTTTCCTCACCTGTGCTGCTGTTGCTGCTGTCTGTAGCAGTCGGTTCTCCTCCCAGAGACAACGGGCCACAATGCGGGCAATCTCCATGGGTTTCTCCAGATACCTGCTCTATAAAAGAAACAAGAGAATCAAATTAATGCCCAGGGATTGTTGCTACTGGATAAATATTTTGAGAGAGCCAGCATGTTATTAACTCCTAAGAACTGAATTGCTGAATCCTGACCAGTTTCCATTCAAAACTCTACCTTCATAAATAACCTCTACCTTCTGACAAGGCTGTGCAAAGCATTCAAAAGATATGCTTTGCAAAGCATGTTGCTCAGAGTACCCTTATTCAAGAACACCTGTCATTACCATAAGGCTTATAGCTGCTTCACAGGCTGTCTTGGTTATCCAAGATATAAATGCATAGCCATTACATTTCGTAGCGGTCCCAACAGAAGTACGGTCTGTGTATACATGCATACAACTGGGGAAACACTTCAAGGCAGCTGCACCAAGCCTTCTGGATTGTGGCTGCTTTAATGCTTTAATAATATTGCATTGGTTTGTGATACAAGCCTACTTGCCAAAAGTTTCTGGGAAGGCCAGACAAATCTTGCACACTACTTGTCTTTTCCCCAATACCTGAACTTCACTGATATGTTCTCATTGCATATTGAAATTCCTCAATCAGACTTCCCCAACCTGGTTGTGAAAGATTAGAAGGAAGAAGCTGAAGGGGAAACAGCCTCAGATCAGACAACTCTTTTATAGTAACAATATATAACTGGCAATCATTCTTCCTACTGAGAAATGAGCAACTCAGGCAGGAAAGAGATATAAGATTTGAACCTGAAGACTGAGATGACAGATAGACAGAGCTTGAAGTTGTCAGTTTTCTACTCCAGTTATTACTTTTTTTCCCTGGCATTTATAATAAAGGCAGCTTATTAAAAACCGGTCTCCTCGAGAACTTCCAGTGGCATGGCGGCGATTCAGACGTGGAAATAGCGGGGCTCTTTGGAGCCCCGCGAAAATCCCGTCCGCCAAGCCCCCGCCGGTAGGTCTGCGGACCTCCCCTGTCCTGTAGGGGCAGGGGGAAAGAGAGGGACCCCCTCGGACGGCCAAGAGGAAAGGGCAGGTTCCTTGAGGCCGGAGGATACCCTCTACGCCGGTGGCGGTGGGAGAGGCAGCCATGGCGGCTGTCCCAAAGCCGCGGCAGCCGGGAAAAGCAAAGTGCAGGAAGAGACGCAGGAGCAGGCTGTTTGAGCACCGGATGAGTAAGACCAGCCCAGGCAGGAACAGCTTTCAAAGTTTTTTGTGGACTAACAATGCCCTGGCCCTAATAGCGGCTAAGAATTATCAGGGCGAAAGATTTAAAATAATTAATAGAGAAGAGAAGATCCTTTAAAGGATGATAATATTTATCACTTGCTTTTGGAACTAAATGTTTTTCTGGAAGGACCTTTGGTTACTAAGGAGAATGGATTAGCCGCAAAGAGAAAGGAAGAGAAGAGGAAACGAAATGGAATGTCCTTTTAAAAAAAAAAGAAGAAGAAGCGGTGAGAATAATAAGTGAAGAGAGCTTAAGATGGACGCTTGTTAATAGAAGTGAAAGTGGGAACTGCAAATTGTGTATTTCTTGCTGCTTAAAGAAGAAATTTTGTTTCTTATTTCTTGAACTGGAGTATATTGAGAAAAACTAAGGTGGTTTGATTTTGGATGTACTTAACTTATTTTTGAACTTAATAAGCGGTGGGACTTTAAGATGGACGCTTGTTAACATATTGAGCCTGTAGTACAGTGGACTAAAGCACTGTTATTAACAACTGCTGCTTGCAATTACTGCAAGTTTAAATCTCACCAGGCTCAAGGTTGACTCAGCCTTCCATCCTTTCAAAGGTAGGTGAAATGAGGACCCAGATTGTGGGGGCAATAGCTGACTTTGTATAAATATACAAAAGTATGAAGGCTATTGCTTAACGCATTGTAAGCCGCCCTGAGTCTCTGGAGAAGGGCGGCATATAAATTAAAAAGCAAAAAAAAAAAAAAGCAAGTGAAAGTGGAAACTGCAAACTGTGTATTTTTTGCTGGTTAAAGAAGAAACTTTGTCGCTTATTCTTCAAACTGGAGTATACTGAGGAAAAACTAAGGTTTGATTTGGATATACTTAATTTGTGTTTGAACTATTTATGGACAGCTGGAAGGAAGAAGTTATTTGGAACAGTTAAATCTGCTGATTGATGGTGTTGAAGAAGGAGGGTGTTGCCCTAGGAGAGGACATGATGACACCATATATGGAATACAAAAGAATTAAATTTGTTAGTCTTTATAACTTTATGGCTACTGGAACTGGAAAGGAGGAAAAAAGAAAAAAGAAGAAAGAGTTTGGGCAGAAGGAGAGAAACACCTCAGTTTGATTAAAATGGATGTAAATACTGTGGATGGATGTAATTGATTTTTAAACAATGTAAGGAGGAGAGTTCCTCTCCTCTCTCTCTCTTTCCTTTTATTACTTTTTTTTTCTCTCTCTCTTTTTTTTCTTTTTTGCTTTGTATTATTTTTCTATCTCATTCCTTTCTTTTTTGCTTCTTCTTCTTCCCTTTTTTTTTCCTTGCAAATTTTTTCTTTTGACAATTTTTGTTATACTTTTATTTCTTTGGCTTTCTTGTTTTTTTATAGAAAGTAAGGGAATGTGGATAATTGAATATTACTGTGAGCTATTTGAGGATGATGATTTTTAAAGCAAGGGATATTATTATAGAAAAAAAATGGATATTTTGAAAGAAACCTTTTTTTGTTTTTGTTTTGAAAATTGATCTAAAAAGTGGTTTAAAATGGCGTAAGCTGTAAGAAATATGAAGATTAAGAATGAATCTTTGATTACTAATGAGAAATGTTGATAACAATTACAATTACAGGGAACTGTCTTTTTAAAATGGTTAAAAATATTGTTCTTTATAGAAAATAAGAAAATGTGAATGAAGTTTTGAACACTGTTAAGAACTATTTATACATGTTTATTTTTAAAGCGAGAAATATCATTATAGAAGTAATCTGAATACTTTGAAAGAATTCTCAAAAAATATTAATAAGCGTTTTAAGGATTATAGAAAATGGATTTGAAAGATGTTTAAAATGTGGGGTTTTTTTATAACATGCAAAAAATGGGAATGAACTTCTGAATAACAATAAGACTTGTTCATAGATTTTATAATTACGGTGAATTAATTTATAAATAGTCTAAAATGCTTGGGAATTAGATGATAAAAATTAAATTGTGAATTTGTCAAATACAAGGTTAGGAGTGGTAGAAAGCATCTCTGGAGAGCAGCTGACTAGGCTGTGAACCAGCTAAAAATAAAACTAGGAGGAGTAGAGGAGGCAATACTGGAGAGCAGCTAGAGCCAAACTGTGAACTAGTTAAATATAAGGTAAGGAGTGGAGGAAGCATCCCTGGAAAGCAGCTTATTATGCTGTGATCCAGCCAAAAATAAAAAAAAAAGGAGGAGAGGAGAGGATATACTGGGGAGCAGTTAAAGCTAAACTGTGACCAAGCGAAATATAGGTTAGGAGTGGAGGGAAACATCCCTGGAGAACAGCTGAAATCCAGCTAAAAATAAACCTAGGAGGAGTTGAGGACAAAATGTTGGAAGCAATTAAAAGTAACTGTGATCCAGCCAACAAATAAGGTTAGGAGTGGAGGGAAGCATCCCTGGAAACCAGGGCCTGGTGGCTCAGCAGACTAAAAAGCATTGTGATTAACACCAGCTGTCTGCAATTACTGTAAGTTCGAATCTCACCAGGCTCAAGGTTGACTCAGCCTTCCATCCTTTCTAAGGTAGGTTAAATGAGGACCCAGTTTGTGGGGGCAATAAGCTGACTTTGTATAAAATATACAAAAGCATGAAGGCTATTGCTTAACGCATTGTAAGCCGCCCCGAGTCTCCGGAGAAGGGCGGCATATAAATCAAATTTTAAAAAAAACAAAAACAGCTAACTAAGCTGCAAGCCAGCTAAAAATAAAACTAGGAGGAATGAATGAGATACTTTTGATGAATAGATATTGATCTTAAAATGTTTTTTAGAGAGGAATACAATATTTTATATTGATTATTAGATGTGTTTCAAAAGAAATATTGACTTGATTTGGGTCTTTGAAGTATGGGAAATATATGAAATACTGATTGTTAAAATGCTAAATGAATATTATAAAGTACTATTTGGATGTGAAGTTTAAGAGTTAGGGTGATTATATATCAGAAAATTAAATGTTAGAATAAGATGTTAGATTGAATGATAAAAATTGGGTTTAGATTTGGGGTTTTTCTTTTTTCTTTTTTTTTCTTTTTTTTGTGATTTTCTGTTTATTTTAAGATGTTAATGGAGGCAATTGGAATTTATATCTATGTTATACCGGGCCAAACTCTTGCTCCAAAAAGATGTTGTTTTATGTTTTATTTTTTAAAAAAATAAATAAATTTTTTTCAAAAAAACCCACAAAACCAATCTTCTTCAATCTCTACCTGCTGTACCTCTACCTGCTAGCCTTCAAGTTCAAGTAATGTTTTAAAGGATGCCTAGTATATTTCAGACATCTTGGATCGCAATTCCCATTATCTCCAGTTATCATGCCCAATGCTCCTGAATACTGTTCTTCCTGAAAAATTTAAAGCTTGATTTAGACTTCTGCGTTACTACACATCAGGGAATGTATGCATCTGTTGTTGTTGCATTTATACTTCTGCAAATTTTAATATTGGGGCTAGGGGATGCTCAAATAATAATGTCTTCTGCTTGCCTCCCAATAGGAAGTCAGATCAAATAATCAGCATGCAGAATGTGTACCTCCACACAATATGTAGTTGAGATTAAGGAGGTGTGCGTGTTGGCTCGTTTGCAACCATCTGCAACCTACACTTACCCATCAATCTCTTTGCACATACAGTAGTAAGTGTTGATGCCTACAAGTCTAAATCAAGTTTAAGAAGAAATGTTGTTACTCTATGAATTGATTTTTCCGGATAAAAATGGAATTATCTCTACATTCCAAGCATAAACACTGATGCAGAAATTTATTGGAGAAGGCTGACCTTGAAATGAGAAATGATGCAATATTTGGGCTCTGGGTTTAACTTCAGTGATAACCACAGCCAGATCTTAATTGCTTTTTAAAATGCCAACAAGGTTAGGGGCAACTATACAATGTTGCATCAAAGAACAGTGCACATTATCACCTTGGGGTATTTTGCTAATTATAGACTGGCCAGAATGATTTATGCTTTAATAACATCTTATCTAGATTATAATCTTGTGTCTTAGATGGGACTTCCCTTAAAAATGTCCCAGTACTTTCTGCCAGTACAAAAATTCTTTAGCCTACTGTCATGTGATGTATCTGATTAAAGTCATTTTATACTTACTCTTGGTAATTTAAACTAGCTGCCTGTTTCAATATACTTCTGCTGACTTGTAAAATCTTGAACAATTCAACAGATACAATCGGTTAGAATGGTTCTTGTGGTATGTACTTGTCTACCTTCACTTGAGGATCTTAAACATGCTGCTGTGAAAAGTGTTGTCTTCCTGTTGTGGACATCCTCTCTAAAGAACTTTCCACTTTGGATATATCAAGTTTCTTCTGTGGTTTGGTATCAAAAACTACTTAAAATGTTCACCTAGACTTTTAGATCCCCCAATGACTTTGCTTCTGATTCCATTAGAGAGTTCAATCTTATTAGTTTACCGGTCTGCTTTGGTGCTACTGATATAACTGTTCTTATTTTCTAGTTTAAAATGAGATACTAATACAACAAGTAATAATTTTTGTAAGGTTTCGCTGAGAGGCATATTTGAACTAGCAGGCTTGCAGCTGGAGATTCAGGGACACTAATACAATACTTTTTATTGCAGATACTAGAAAAGTCCTTAATCATAAGAAAACAACTACATCAATCACATTGATGGCAATCATAAGACTCTTTCTTCCACTCTTATGTCAGAATGGACTGAAGGACTGAAATTACTATTCAAACAGAGCAGTAATTAGCACCTATGTATTGTTATTGCTACCCAGCATATAACAATACCATGTATTGTTATCAGAGGATGGTAGAGGACAGGAAGGCCTGGAATAACATTGTCCATGGGGTTGCGATGGATTAGACACAACTTCGCAACTAACAACAACATCATTGTTATTGCTATGGAACAATCTGGTCTCAGGCTCTTTGCTTCTGACCTTTTTAACTCTTACTCTCACAATTATACAGCAATGATAATGATAGCAATAAATAATGATAATATATTCAGGAAAGGAATCACTTTTTTCCTTTGCATTTCAAGATATCAATGCTATGACTACAAGTCAGCACATTTTTTGCATTTCAGACTGTTAACCTAGCTCCTTGGTTCTCCGAGGAGCTGAGGGAGATGAAGCACCGGAAAAGACGCCTGGAGAGTAGTTGGAGGACCAGCCACTCCGAATCCGACCGAACACTGGTGAGGTCTCATATTAAGACCTACCTAGTGACAATAAAAGCGGCGAAATCTAGCTATTTTGCCGCTCTTATTGCGTCATCAGATAATCGCCCAGCCGCCCTGTTTAGGGTGACCCGCTCCCTCCTCCATCTGGAAGTGCGGGATGATCCCTTGCAGGGTTGAGCTGAGGATTTTGTGCAGTATCTGTATGACAAGATCGCTCAGATTCGGGAAGGCCTGGCCTCTGACTGGGTAAGTCCAGACGGGATGACTGAGGCAGGTCTTGAGAGTGTTATCTGAGAGGAGTTTGATCCTGTGGCTCCCGAGGACGTGGACAGGATCCTGGGACGGCTGAACACGACATGTTTATTGGACCCATGCCCCTCCTGGTTGGTACTGGCTTCCCGGGAGGTTACACGAGGCTGGCTCCAGAGGATTGTTAACGCTTCTCTGAGTGAGGGAGTCCTGCCGGCCACTTTGAAAGAAGCGGTGGTGAGGCCCCTCCTCAAGAAGCCCTCTCTGGATCCGGCTGTTTTGGCTAACTATTGTCCAGTCTCCAACCTTCGCTTCATTGCAAAGGTTGTTCAGAGTGTGGTGGCGCGGCAGCTTCCCCAGTACCTGGATGAAGCTGTCTATCTAGACCCGCTCCAGTCCGGCTTCCGGCCTGGGCACAGCACGGAAACGGCATTGGTCGCGTTGGTGGATGATCTCTGGAGGGCTCGGGATAGGGGTTTATTCTGGTCCTGTTAGATCTCTCAGCGGCTTTTGATACCATCGACCATGGTATCATGTTGCACCGGTTGAAGGGGTTGGGGGTGGGGGGCACCGTTCTCCTCCTACCTCTCTGGCCGGTCGCAATCTGTTTTGACAGGGGGGCAGCAGTCGACCCCGAGGCGCCTTGCTTGTGGGGTGTCACAAAGGTTGGTCCTCTCACCCCTTCTGTTCAACATTTATGTAAAGCCGCTGGGTGAGATCATCCGTGGCTTTGGGGTGGAGTTCCATCAGTACGCTGACGACACTCAGCTGTACATCTCCACCCCAGGCCACCCCAACGATGCCCTTGAAGTGATGTCCCAGTGCCTGGAGGCCGTGCGGGCCTGGATGGGGAGAAACAGGCTCCGACTCAACCCTTCCAAGACCGAGTGGCTGTGGCTTCCGGCGTCCCAATATAGCCAGCTGGTGCCATCGCTGGCTATTGAGGGCGAATCACTGGCCCCCACGGAGAGGGCTCGCAACTTAGGCATCCTCCTGGATGCACGGCTGTCTTTAGAAGAGCACATGAGGGCCGTGGCCACGGGGGGCTTTTTATCAGGTTTGCCTGATACGCCAGTTGCGTCCCTTTCTGGATCGGGACTCCCTACGCACGGTCACTCAAGCACTCGTCACTTCCCGCCTGGACTACTGCAATGCTCTCTACATGGGACTCCCCTTGGGGTGCACCTGGAGGCTGCAGTTAGTCCAGAATGCGGCTGCGCAGGGGATTATGGGAGTGACGGGGCGCTCACATATGACACCTCTTCTGCGCGAGCTGCACTGGCTTCCTGTGGTCTTCCGGGTGCGCTTCAAGGTGTTGGTGACCACCTTTAAAGCGCTCCATGGCTTAGGGCCGGGGTGTCTGCGAGACCACCTTCTGCCGCCAATAGCCTCCCACCGACCGGTTCGCTCGCACAGAGAGGGCCTCCTCAGGGTGCCGTCGGCCAGAAAATGCCGGCTGGCGACCCCCAGGGGGAGAGTCTTCTCTGTGGAGGCACCTGCCCTCTGGAATGACCTACCCCCTGAGATACGCACGATATCAGACCTCCGGACTTTTCGTTGGGCCCTGAAAACACACTTATTCCATCTAGCCGGGCTGGCTTGATCCCATACTCTCAGTTTTAATTGAATTCGGTTTTAATTGGGTCGTTTTAAATCTTGGGCCGAAATTATTTAATTGTTTTTTAAACTGTTTTTAAATTTTATATGCAATGTTTTATCTCGGCTGTACACCGCCCTGAGTCCCGCAGGAGAAGGGCGGTATAGAAATAATAAAATAAAATAAAATAAAATAAAATAAAATAAAATAAAATAAAATATAAAATATAATAAAATAAAATAAAATAAAATAAATAAAATAAATAAAATAAAATAAAATAAAATAAAATAAAATAAAATAAAATAAATCTGTCATCTTACAGACAGGTATTCAGGAATTCACATAATACACGAGTTCCTAAATCAAAATTTGTCAGTCATTTCTACCTGTAGGAACTGTTTGATCCGGCGTAGATTATGCTGATAGAGAACATTGGATTCTTGTAGGAAGCGACTGTACTGCTGGTCAATTTCACCCAGAAGATTGTGAAATACCAAAGTAGCATGGGACTCTTTGCTGGCAGCATAAGCCCTAAAGAGGATAGGAAAGGAAATCCAACTTACTAGTACAGTTTATAAGATACCTTAGTCTAATTCTATGAAAGTTCCCATCTATAAAAAGCAGGACCTATAATAATTAATGCCAAAAAAGTTTCTGAAGTTTCTAAAATGCAAAAAAAGTTAATATGAATTTCCAGTGAATTTTGCAAGCATAATTCAGGGAATTTAAGAACATAACACCCACAAAGGAATTTCAATGTTCCAACTGTCAGTGTGGCAATTAAAAGAAAAGAACTAGATGGCAACCTAGAAAAACTGTGGTGGGCAAAACAGTTATCCCTCATTTTGGGAGGTGAAGGTAGAAACTTGAAGATGCTGCTTTTTATGATGGGCTGGCCCAGTGAAATAGCCTCCTGTGGGAAGATTGACAGATTCCAATGTTATTTGTCTCCCACAAACAAAGACAGACAGAGATTTTCTAGACGGCATTTGGACGTGGTTATCAGGTACAATGTTAGATTGAATACAGGATGTTGTTACCAGATACTCTGTTGGATTGTATACAGTATACGCATGGTTGTTTTTGCCTTTTCATTTGTGATGGTGGCAGGACATGCATTTGATTAATAAACAAACAAGAAGGGTCAGCACATCTGGAATGCATGAGATTTAATAAGGCTGATCTACAGTATTAGGTAATACAGGTAATCCTTTCAATGTTACTACATCACTGAAAAAAGTGACTTTAGACCATTTTTCACACTTACAATTGTTGCAGCATCCCCATGATCATGAGCTCAAAATTTGGATGCTTGGAAACTGGTTCATATTTATGACAGTATCAGTGTCCCAGGGTCATGTGATCCCCTTTTGGGACCTTCTGACGAGCAAAGTCAATGGGAAGCCAGATTCACTTAACAACTGTGTTACTAAATTAATAGCTGCAGTGATTCACTTGACAACTATGGCAAGAAAAGTTGTAAAATGGGGAAAAATTCACTATCTCACCTAGCAATAGAATTGTTGGGCTTAATTGTGGTTGTAAGTCGAGGACTACCTGTAATCTGTATACCGGATGTACCCCCAATTATATTCCTGACAGCTCTAACAATTTCAGCAAAAAAGAATATAAAAGAGAAAGAATCTCACAAATTAATGTTGCATATCCCGAAAATCTCTGTGTCTAACAGCAGGGAGGAGTTACATGATCCACAATTGCAAAGCTTCTAAATCATTGCTCAGGCAGAAGTCAGCACTTCTTGCCCTAATTTCAAAGAGCAATCAATCAGTTCAGACTTTTGGCAAGAATGATCTGTTTCTTTTCCAGAAATAGAAGGGAGGAATAAGAGAACAAGAAAGGCACTGCATGTGTAGATGGGGTAAGATTGATAAAGGAAATCGGGATCTGGCTTCCTGCTAGATTACCAACTTTTGAAGAAAGAGATAAAGGAAAAGCAAGTTAGTTTGCTTAGTCTACAATTCTCATTGTCTCAATCTGCACTGATATGACAGTTTGGTCTAATGGTCAAGACACTAGGCTATAAAGTGGAATATTTTGAGTTCTAGTCCTACCTTAGCCATGAAAGCTAGCTGGGTGACCTTGGGCCAGTCACTCTCTCATCCAAACTCATCTCACAGGCTTGTTGTTGTGGAGAAAGTAGGAGGAATGTGTGTTGAATATGAGGTATTTGTAAAAATAATGACTATATATATATATACTGTATTTTTCGTAGTATAAGACACACCGATGTATAAGACACAGCTTAGTTTTTGGGGAAGAAAATAGGGGGGCGGGGAAATCTGCCAACCAGGTATTCATCTGGCTAGCGTCCTTAGTCTGGTCAGCTTCAACACATCCCCTGCTTGGGGATAAAAATAGCTTCTAAAACACAACTGATCTTTGGAGAGAGAAGCAAAGAGAAAAACAGGCAAACCACAGAGATCGCTTCACTCTGCTAGCGCCCAGTTAGGGCTGAAAAAAACTTCACAGCTGAGAGTCGGAGGGAGCAGGCAAAGCGCTTCACTGCTAGCACCTCGTTAGGGCTGAAAAAAAGCTTCACAGCTGAAAGTCAGAGGGAGCAGGCAAAGCAGGAAAATGGAGATTGCTTCACTCGCTAGCACCTCATTAGGGCTGAAAAAAGCTTCAAAAAAGCTACATTTGGAGTATAAGTCACACCCAAATTTTCAGCCTCTTTTAGGAGGGAAAAAAGTGTGTCTTATACTCCGAAAAATACGGTATATCTTGTCTCTATTATATATATGTATGCTTGTATGTGGGTGGGTGGGTGGGGGTGTATATACCCACTTCCTCATTGCTTCCCCAAAGATGCTTCCTCGCCTTATTTTTTTGAAGCAACAATATAAATCAATTGAGCATCCGTATTTTACTCATTGATTTGAAGAGCTCCAGGACTGCGGCCCCCAACCTTTTGGGCACCAGAGACCAGTTCAGTTCTGTGGAAAGAGGTTTCTTTGTGGGTTGGAGGGGGTATGGTTTCGTGTACTGCCTGCATCAAGTGGATGGAGCTTTGGTTGTTTGCACAGCCAGTTTCTAGCATGCCGCAGACTGGTCCACAGACCAGGGCTTGGGGACCCCTGCTCTAGAACACAGATGTTTTTGCTCAAATGTAGCCTGGAAGCTAAAAAACAGAATTCCTCACCAATCCTGGCTCTCTATCCAAGGTGCAAGGAACTGCCGAAGTTCCATTGGAAAGCTGTCACTGTAAAGCTGGTGGAGCTGCTCCAAGTATCTTGTGTCCAATTGCTGCAATTGGTTCCACTGTGCCATCTTGGCAGCTGACTCTGGAAAGAAGAAAACATATAGGGCATTTTAATGTGAGCTGTCTATTGATGAGTCAGGCTGATGCTATCCAAAAATATCCAATAATCAATCAATAACAACCATTACTGATTCACAATCACAAGTAAAACCTAACAATGTAAATCTGTAAGAAAAAGGAAAAGAAAGCTCAAGAAAGAAACATTCCTATTGACAATTTATGGGTTTTAAGTAATTTACAATTTATGGGTTAAAAGTCATTTTAAGTGACTTATATTCAATTATTTTGCTTCTGATTTTTAGTCATAATTATTGCTGATGAATGCTAGATAACGGAGAAAGCCGAAGAAAACCAAAAATACTAAACTATGTGCTTTATTGATTACAGAAAGGCTTTCAATTTGTCAATGCCAACATGTGGAATATGCTCAGAAAAATAGGAATCCTAGAATATCTTACTGTCCTCATGAGAAATGTATATACAGGTCAGGAAGCCAAAATATAGACAGAACATGGCAAAACATTGACACCAGATAACCAAACTAATGACAATAGGAAGAATCACTGGCCTTAGAATTGCCAATGAAGGTATCAAATGGTAGATAGTTTTGGTCATCTAGCATCAACCATCAACAATAATGGAATAAGCAGTCAAGAAATACACTGCCGGCTAGCGCTTGGTAGAGCAGCTATGCAAGCCTTGGAAAAAATATTCAAATGCCATCATGTGTCTTCACTGACAAAGATCAGAATCATGCAAGTCATGGTACCTACTGCAATATTCTCTGGGAATGAAAGTTGGACTTTGAAGAGAAAGAGTACTGACACTCTTGAACTTTGGTGCTGGAGAAGACTCCTGACCATATCATGGACACCAGAAATGGACTAATGGATCATTTAAAAATATCGACCCAGAGTTCTGATTAGAGGCACAAAATTAGGCTCAAAATTATCCTGCTTTGGATAGATTATGTGAAGATTTAGCTCTCCAAGGCTCTAATGGTAGGAAATGTGGAAGAAAGAAGAGGATGACAAGCAGCGAGATGGGTAGACTCAGTTACAGTGGTGATAAGTGCACCATTGGAAAAGCTGAAAGTTTAGGTTACGGACAGATTGTCATGGAGAATATCTATATATCTAGGTGTGGACAGCGACTTGATGGCACACAATCAATCAATTAACCAATTAATCTAGTAATAAAATATTTATTCAATATTTCTAAACAATTACAGAGTTAGTGTTAGTGTTGACTCCTAGTTACTGCCTGGAAAGTCCCTGTTCTTTTCCTGACAAGATTTAAGAAGTGGTTTGCCACTGCCTGCTTCTGAAAAGAAGAAAACATATAGGGAATTTTAATATGAGCTCTCTATGAGAGTAATGTTACATAGCATCCAAAGTAAATGTTAAACCAAAATTTGTTTTCTAGTAGCTAATCTTGCTCTAGAATACAAGAAGAATCCCAAATAGCTTTAAATGGCACTTCAATCCCAGCTATTCTGATCCACAATTCATAGTATGCTAAATTCTGTTTTCCTTAATAGCCAAAGAAAAATCTTTAATAACAACAACAAAAAAATCTTTAATAACAACAACAACAAAAATCAGGTCTAATAGAATCTACTTACGACTATTATGCCTTAAAACAAAAAGGTAATTCCTCCCCCATTTAGCATCTTTCAAATGTTTTCCTCTAATATGGTTATTTGTTCGTTTACATATCACAACAGAGGAGACCTAGAAATTAACTGGGGAGTGGTCTGAGATTGCTGTCTCCTCTTCCTCTTTTATAGGTAGGGCTGAAATTTTCTTTAAAGCTTCTATTGATTATTTCAGTTCAAAGCAGCTTTTTATCCTTAATTTTCTCTCCACTTTCATCCTCTATCTCATTATTTTTCTTGATGATTCCTTTGTAACTGCACCACCCACTCCTTCCATCTCCCAGTAAAATCCCATTCCACCTCTCCATGTTTTCTCAAAAATCTGTCAGCTTTCACTACATTTACACATGCTCTTCGCCATCCTGCATTCTTTGCTGCTGGTTGCTCCACAAATTTCTATTCCTCCCCCTTTCTTCCTATTTATATTTTATTACTTGCACCACCACCTATATTCTTTATTTTATTTTCCTCCTCAATGCTTCCAACAGCTTCCCTGTCTTGCAGATGTTTCTTAAATAACTAAATATGGGTAAACTATATTCACCTGTCTAGTCCAGGTTCACTGGGATGTTGCAACTCATCAAGTACTCATTTTAAATACTGACTGTTGTAAGGTCTTGCATGATATCACCTGTAGTTTGTCCCTCCTCCCTATTATTAGTAATAATAGGAATGGCGCTGAACTGATACTGCAAATAACCATGGCAAAATTCTAAAAGATTCTCTTTCCGCTAATCCCTAATGCTTTAATCTGTAATTGGGCACCAGTCATTAAATCTTGGACCATATTTTGGGGCCCTTCTAAGACACTGAAGTAGTTACTGGGATTGGAGGGATTAGGATGTCACTGATACACTTTTTCACTTAGTGCAGACTTCAGAATATGTAAATATAACCTACTCAATCTCTTGGTCAAACAAACTGTACTGGAAAGTAAATTGATGTAGCCTCCAAATTCACTTGAGAGGATCAGGGCCCAGACCTGTAACCATCTATTTCAGCTATCCTCCAAGTAAAAGAGTATGGAGGATTACTTGTTTCCACTCTTCCTTTTGTTGGTTTTGAGTATGAGTATTTTTGTTCTGTTTGTGCTTGGATTTCTACTAGCACTATTCAAGCTGGGGGAGGTTTTATTTATTGGTTCGATTTATATGCCGCCCTTCTCCGGAGACTCAGAGCAGCTTACAATGCGTTAAGCAATAGCCTTCATACTTTTGTATACACCTGCTTAGTAGGGCTTTCGCCCCCCCCCCAAGCGGTGTTCTTTTTTATACAAAGTCAGTTTATTGCCCCCACAAACCGGGTCCTCATTTTACCTACCTCGGAAGGATGGAAGGCTGAGTCAACCTTGAGTCTGGTGAGATTTGAACTTGCAGTAATTGCAGGCAGCTGGTGCTACTTAACAGCACTTTAGTCTGCTGCACCACCAAGGTTGTTGCTTAATTCCCCAAAAGACTTCTTTCAATCAAAGGGGAACTCTGGGATATCATCAAGGTGTGAGCCTGTTAAGTAAGCAATTTGGTAAGATTGTTACCTTATTTGCCTGCTACATTTCACATTTGACCCTCACTTTGCTACATTCATGGCAGGCTCTGTACATATTCCTAACAGAAGTGGGTACAAAATCCTTTAACATTTCAATTTTTAATTTTGCCAGAATGCTTCTGCTGCCTCTTCTTTTCCTTTCCTGCACAATTCTTGAGTTAAGCCAAGGTCTTAAATCTACCATTTGGTTTAATTGCAGTTTGTAATCAGCCTGCAAAACATGATGATGATTTCTAAGTTGCTCCAAAGTTGATTCGTTGTTGTCTGACCTGTTTCAAAGAAAAGTTCTTTAACTGCAGTTGTATGAGGACCTGAACTATATGGATCAAGCCAACCCACAATGCTACTTTCATCACTCCAAGTAAATCTTTTTATTCCTTTTTCTATTCCTCTTAATTTGTTCAGCTTCCAAAATTCTGTCTTAACATCTCTTCTGTATACATGGCCTTCATTTTCTCTTGCAAATCACCAATAGGCAATTCCAACCTCTGAACAAATTTCTCTATAACCTTGCAATGTACCAAACCCATTTCCCCCTCCCCACAATTCTCCCGTGGAGGTATATTACCTGGAAGACAGGTGATGGAGTAAGCATCCTTTTGCCGGGCATCTTCAGATTTCCAGAATTCATGATTTCCTGCTTCCTAGTCTGGTGTCTTAACACTACAACAAACTGGCTCTCTTAATTTTTAGACAAAACTAGAATTGGGGACAGGGGGGGGCGACTTTCCATTAATGCAACCCTATATTATATACAAATATACCACAATTTTACTTTCTGTTCTACTGAGAACACATTACCATAGCTTCTAGTATCCCACTTACCAATATTTGTGTAATAGTTAAAATAATTCATCTATCTCCAGAGTCACCACCTTATGTACAAATTGGTTCTCCATTCTCCAAGGTTTATCCCCTTTCAAGGAATACTGTCTCCAGATATGCAGCTTCATCTATTATGTTGACAATTTTGGGTTTTCTTCATTTACAAAACAATGCCACTCTGGAAAATTTTGGATTGGATTTCAGAGATTTTAACCATGAAGCTAGTTCACAATATAACTCATTCAAGAAAGACACTTGTGGTAGAGCCTATAAGGTGAGGATGGCTAACAATTACTTATTATAGCAGAGACAGTAAGAATGCTTTTAGGTTTGGTATCTATCCCCAGTCTTCCCAGGGATATTTCATTGTACTAGATAAATCTTAATCCAATCTGCTCATCTATGAAGGCTCATCTTGTACATATTTAGTACAACTTACATTTACGACTCATAGTCACATGATCAAAATTTTGGTGCTTGGCAACTGGGATGATATGATTGCTATTTGCCTCCTTCCCAGCTGGCTTCCAACAAGCAAAGTACAATGATTCTATACTCTCAGTAATGATTTTTCTTCCCTGAAGGCAAGTGGAATTTTTGCAAATATTCTACCTTTCTTTATGAAAAGAAGCAAGCTAAGACAGTGTAAAGGAAATCCTGTTCCCCCCCCCCCAAAAAACAAGAGACAATTAAGAGGAACAGGATGAGGAAGAACTTGGATTTGTGGCTACAATGAATAATCGCAAAATCTTCAAAAGCAGAACTTATATAAATAAATGTATGACTGTGAGGTAAATTCATTTTCTAACAGACATTTAGCAAAACTAGATGACAGAAATTCAGTTTTGTTAAGTGATTCTTGAAAAATTCCAAATCTCTGATTGGTGTACCTAATGTGCTAAGCAAACTCTTCCTCACAGCTGAAGTTTCTGTGAAAGTGTAACACCGTCTGCCTGGTGACTCAGGAAGTTTTGTTTATACTTTAGAAGAAATAATATGCTTGGAAACTCATAGCAATTTGCCCAGTCACATTTATAGTTAATTAAAGCAAAGTCTCTTTCACTGATTTAAAATTCTTCTTTCCAAATTTTTCTCCACCTGGACTAAACAACAATTTATGAGAAAAGCTGTCAAAATTCTTGCCTGCGATCTCTTGTTTATTTTTTTTCATTTTTGTGTTTTATTTTTTGTTTATTTCTTTCATTTGACTCTTTCATTTCTTTCCAGCTTCCTGACAATTTCTCACTATGATACTGCTTTATCCATTCCCCAAACATTAAGATGTATGGACTTCCATTCCCAGAATTCCCTAGCTAGCACTGACTGGGGAGCTGGAGTCTACACAGGTTAAAGTTGTTGATATTCAGAAACACTGGTGTAGACTCTGGAACAATAAAAACAACAAAAAACGCTTTGAAAAGTACAAACAATAGTTTGGTTTGCTTGGCCAACTACTGAGGTTTGCAGAAGAATGCTCACTCACTTCTACAAACATAGTTTAACAAAATATTTGGAAGTTCTGTGTTTTCTTAAATGAGGACTGCATATGCTCAAAAACCATGGAATGTTTTCTGCTTTTGGAAAAATAAGCAGAATCGTTGGTTTGTGGGGGATGGAAGCAGAAATACAGCTTCTTGGACCTGATTCAGTTCCTGAAAAAGAGTTTGGTTTTTGAAAGATGATGATCTGTAACTCTTAATACTTCTCAAGTATGCATTTATCTTGTTTTTCTCTCTGCATCTCAACTTTCTAGTAATTTATTTATATAATTGTTACATCAAAGATGGCTGAAAGGGAGTAGTTTCCTGAGGCTGACTTCATCTCAGAAATGAGATTTGGGCTGAGTATTTCTCAGACATACAGCTCATATGTTTTGGTAATATCTTATGTGCTCAATTAGAATGAAATGATCCAAGCAACTGGGAAACCATAAGATCAGCTAAATTTGAAAAAAATGTATGTTGCTTTCTTAAACTGTGAATACGTTTCTAAATACTAACAGTTCAAATCTGCAACGATTTGTCTCTTCTAAATTTTCATAATATGAATTTATTTCCTCCCCCTCAGAGCAATCTAGTCAGCAGGTATTTTGGATTATTTTCTGACATCTCATTTCTTATTAACTTCAGTTAAAGCAAGATATTGACAATACTGTTTCTACTTCAGATTATGTTCCTGTAAAGCTCATAGTTCTTTTCTGTCAATAATTTAAAAGTTTATTACATATGGTCTCTAGACATCCCTTTGTTCAGGGCTGTCAAACTCAAGGCCCGGGAGCCAGATCCAGCCCATCGAGTGCTTAGATCTGGCCCTTAGGGATGCTCTGGAAACAGCGAAGAACTGGCCTGTGATGCCTCTGCCAGTAAAAATGGCAGAGTCACACGCGGACCTCCCAAGTTCTGTTTTCGCTGGCAGAGGGTTGCAGGAGGCCGTCGCAGCCGAAAACAGAGCTCAGGAGCCTGTTTTCGCTGCAGAGCACTCGGGCCACCACAGGGCCCCCCAACACAAATGACTTCCAGCTCGCCACATCCACCCTGGCCATGCCCACCCTGGCCCCTCAAGGTCAAACACAAGCCTGATGTGGCCCTCAATGAAATCAAGTTTGACACTTCTGTCTTTGTTGAATAACAAATATTTTTAAGTAGATGGAACAGGAGATGAGACACTGTTTAATTAATAAGTATTGGATTTCATCATGGACATGAGGCACTGGCTCTTACACAAATTAAGCAACGTAACCTCTGTTTAGAATATATTTGAGAAAGTCCAAATGTTCTAGATCCGCGATGGTGAACCTGTGGCATGCAGAGCCCTCTTTGTAGGCATGTGAGCCGTTGCCCCAGCTCAGCTCCACCGCGCATGCATGCGTGGCTGCCAGCCAGCTGGTATTCGGGTCTTTGGCGCGCATGCGGAGGGCACATGCGGGGGACTGACGTGCATGCACAGGTCGCACACACATGCATGGGGGTGCCCATGGGGGTCATGCATGCATTGCATTATGGGTGTATGCGCGCGCTTTTGGCACTTGGCGCCAAAAGGCTTAGCCATCACTGTTCTAGATCTATTAAAATATCAGCCCTTCAAGATGGATCTAATCGGTGGGGGGAAACCGATGCCATGTAAGTCAGTACTACTTTTATTGTAATAGCTATAGTAGCAGAATCTTGTTAAGTCTAAATGCATTTGCTCCTTTTTCCCTTTATCATCCTGTTGGTCTGAGATGTTTACTTTCTTAAATTGGCTTGAGGGTATCTTTTATCTGACTGCTGCCTTGATAGTGGCTCTTCCTCCTGTGCTCTAAGGCCATTCCCTCTTTCCTCTATAGAAAACAACAGATAACTCAACAGATAACTCAACTGATGACACAATTGTCACTTGACCACTCCTAATCATTTTAAGAAATGTTGACTACAAATTAATTGTATACATTGAGGGAGGTCTCTTGCTTGATGGCTTCCCAGCTGACTACCACAAAGCGTTTTTTAATTGCCTATTTTAGTGAAATATATTTTGAAGTCTTTTCAAATATATTCCTACCTCCCAAGTTTCAACTATTCAATATTCAAAATATTGTTCTTCCTAAGGATCTACTTCACTGGTTATAGTGCGTGCTAAGATTACAAGATCTTTAGTTTTCAAATCACAGTAGTTACAGTATTCTAATAAATATGAAGGAACCCAGCTCAGGTTGTTGATTAATGTAACTGCTTTAACCTAAAATTGACAGAATCTAGCAGCTATTTCTGAATCTGAAAAAGCTTTTGATATGGTTTCATGGTGGTTTTGGAAATAGCTTTTGACTCATTTTGGGTTTCCTCTGAGTTTTATATTGTGGGTCATTTTTTTATTACTATATCAATTACATTTGATAATGTGAAAAGTATATTGTGCTTTAGAAATTAATCATATGTTTCAATTCTGAATCTTATTTCATTAAAGTAGAAGTTTAGTGCCATGATTAATAACAGAAATTGGAGAAAATCAAATGTGATGCCACTATGCAAACCTTTAGGACTTGCTATTTGGACAGCAATTTGCTGTGATATTCCAAAAAAGACCTCTACCTAAATTTGTTACCAGACCTACAGTGTTGAAAAGTATAGTTAAACAACATCTTTATATTTTTATTTAAAAGAAGAATCTAAAGTTATGGCCTTTATTTGCAACAATAATTTGTTTTTTTTTAAACAAAAAACAAAAAAACCCCACCGTGATGAATGCAGTCTGTATGTGACTGTGGCCTTTTTCTCTTTAAAAAAAGAACCTAGGGATTATTGCCAAAAATACACTAAATACATATATAAGAACTTTCAGTTGCTATTAAGAACACATCATAGTGCTATCAATTATTGGCTTTTGAAACTAGGTTCATGCCACAAATTATTTTTAAAGGTACTATATAGATAAACAAAAGTTATACAAAGATATGTAGGTTGCTATAGGACAACACCCAAAAGCATAGCTGGGAAATCCCTGGTTCAAGTTTCATCTTCACCAAATGACTCTAGACTCAGACCCCCACTTACAAAATGATGATTATAAAAATAATGGTTTACTATATAAAACATTCACAGAGATATTAGAGAAGTAAGTAGTATGAATTATTCTGAATTCTAAATACAAGCAAAATAAACAGCAATGATAGTAGTAGTAGTAGTTGGAAAGTATATCCATAACCAGCTTTCCTGAGAGGATATCTTTTGGGAATTTTGCTTCTAACTGATATAGAGATTTTAATATGCTATAGTCCAGTGTTTCTCAACCTTGGAAGCTTGAAGATGGGGAGACTTCAAGTCCCAGAATCCCTGCTGGCTGGGGGATTCTGGGAGTTGAAGTCC